AGACAGACAGACAGAAAGACAGAGACAGACAGACAGATAGACATACAGAATGACATAAAGACAGACAGACAGACAGACAGACAGACAGACAGAGAGAGAGAGAGACTGACTGACAGACAGAAAGACAGACAGACTCGCAGAAAGACAGACTGACAGACAGAAAGACAGACAGACAGACTGACAGAAAGACAGACTGACAAAAAGACAGACAGACAGACTGACAGAAAGACAGACAGACAGAAAGACAGACAGACAGACAGACAGACTGACAAAGACAGACAGACTGACAAAAAGACAGAGACAGACAGACAGATAGCTGACAGACAGACAGACACACACAGACAGACAGACATACATAGACAGACTGACTGACTGACTGACAGAAAGACAGACTGACAGACAGACTCACAGAAAGACAGACAGACTGACAGAAAGACAGAGAGACAGACATACAGACTGACAGAAATACAGACAGACTGACAGAAAGACAGAGAAAGACAGACAGATAGACATACAGAATGACAGAAAGACAGACAGACAGACAGAGAGAGAGACTGACTGACAGACAGACAGAAAGACAGACAGACTCACAGAAAGACAGACAGACTGACAGAAAGACAGACACAGAAAGACAGACAGACAGACTGACAGAAAGCCAGACAGACAGACTGACAGAAAGACAGACAGACTCACAGAAAGACAGACAGACAGACAGACATACATACATACAGAAAGACAGGCTGACAGACAGAAAGACAGACAGACTGACAGAAAGACAGAGACAGACAGATAGACATACAGACAGAAAGACAGACTGACAGACAGACATACAGACTGACAGACAGACAGACTGACAGAAAGACAGACAGACAGACAGACAGACAGACTCACAGAAAGACAGACACTGACAGAAAGACAGACTGACTGACAGACAGACAGAAAGACAGACTGACAAAAAGACAGAGACAGACAGATAGACATAATGACAGAAAGACAGACTGACAGACAGACATACAGACTGACAGACAGACTGAAAGACAGACAGACAGACTGACAGACAGACAGACAGACAGACAGACAGACAGACATACATACAGAAAGACAGACTGACAGACAGAAAGACAGACTGATAAAAAGACAGACAGACAGAAAGACAGAGACAGACAGACAGATAGACATACAGAATGACATAAAGACAGACAGACAGACAGACAGAGAGAGAGAGACTGACTGACAGACAGAAAGACAGACAGACTCACAGAAAGACAGACAGCCTGACAGAAAGACAAACACAGAAAGACAGACAGACAGACTGACAGACAGACTGACAAAGACAGACTGACAGAAAGCCAGACATTATCTCTCATCTGAAGGATCAGCCCGCAATAGCATAGACATTTCAAAATAAAAGTACCGGTGTATTTCAGGCTTGTTAATAACTAAAGGGGTCATGAAGTGGCTTTTTTTTTTTAACACTGTTGTCTGAGGTCCACTTATGACTTCTTTTTTTTTAATACTGTTGTCTGAGGTCCACTTATGACTTCTTTTTTTTTAATACTGTTGTCTGAGGTCCACTTATGACATTCACGTGGTTTTTACATTCAAAAACATCAAAATCAATACGTAATAGGCTATTTTCTACCCTGGTTTTGAGGCCGGTGTAGCAGTCGATTTCATTCCTGTTCCCCCTCGACGAAGCGTGTCTGCTGAGCGGGTTGACAGGTCTCCGACGCTTCCGGTTCAAGCATTTTGCATATGACGATGTCACACCCTCAGGATTTGTGTGAGCCAATGAGGAATGGTACCTTTGGAGGGAAATTTTACGATCCTTTTGTCTCTAGCATGGTGTTTTGCATATGAAACTGGATTGGCTGGTCAAGAGTAACAGCCCTCTTGGGAGTGATAGTTGCACTTTTGGGGGATAGTCCATGGAACTCACAGAGTGGGTTTTAAAGATTATTTGTTAAATTTAACAAATAATTGTGTCTGCCCTGTCCAGTCGTTACAGTAACATTGACGGGACCAGACAGTGAGTGCTTGTGAAGTGTTGGTTTATCACATTAAAATTCTTTAACAGACTTTGCAAGACAAGAGAACGATAAATAATCCTAATGATGTATTTCCTGTAATGATTGTTATATGTGTTGCATGATATAACAGTGTTCACAACCTTTGGAATGGAACCGCACTGCTGTTTTAAAAAACCTGAAGAGCACTGCTCAGAATATCACTGGCTATACCTATACAAAATGACAAGATCACAGTAGTTATTAAGCACAAAATATGTATTTATTCTTTAATTAAACTTGTTCAGTCTTTGTGTTGTGAGTGCATTTTGGATCTGAGCGGAGCAAAGTAATTCATAGAACGGTGTGCATCAAAAGCAATCGTTCACAGAGCGCCAATGCAGAAAAAAGGCTTGCAAGACCACAAGCACATAAAATACACCTCAATACATTTAGATAGCAATTCTTAATTGTGTATTTTGGTATGTGCAATGCTTTGATGCCATGCATTGTACATCACATCATCGCAATGTAAACAAGTTGTTCATTTCCTCTGTGCTTAGTACAGCTGTAGTACAGTATGGTAGTGCAGTATTGCTTATGAATGCAGTACAACGATCAGAAACCCAAGCATCAACAGCTGGAACTGCACTCATGCATCAATCTGCACAGACTGGCTCCAATTTAAACTTAAAATTACTATGTCAAATTTATTGATTGCAAACTCGCTTCAACAAATGGGACTTTGAAATATGTAAACCACCACATGACTGAAAAAAAAAAAGCATTATGAAAAAAACAAAACACTGCATTAGGAACAGAAGGAAAATTATGCTAAACCACAGAGGAATGGCTTTTCCTCAGAAGTGATTCATACCTTTCGAGAGAAAGCTGATGACTGATCAAGGCACGACATCGTCCTGAATTATTCATTTTCATCTAGGGATTTTGTCCTGTGGTCTGAAATCTGAAAGTTTAAAAATGCGGGATAATTCTGTAAACAGACAATGAAAGCCACTCAGAAGTGCTGTAAATTGATGAAAAATATTTTAAACTGAGTATTGGCCTCTTTTATAAAACACAAGCAGCATGAATTTCAATTCTACATTTCAATTGACTACATTTATTCTGCTCGTGTTTTATAAAATGTCTATAGTTCTAAGAGCCGCCTGCCCATGCTTCCGCAGGTTAGTCACTCACAATATGTTGATTTATGGGGAAAATTATTATAAAATGATACTTCATGGCAGTAGAATTGAAGGCCATGGTCCTGCAGTACTCTCAGGCAAACCCTTTACTAACACACCTCAATACAAGTCTTAAAAAGAAATCCCCCAGAGTGCCCACAGGACTGTTTTGACACAAACACACTCCTCATGCCCGATTTCACACATACACACATATTTACAGGCTCAAAGGCTTTCTACAGATGTGCCTATAGTCCAACAGTGATCTAAAGCACACAGACATTTCAGAGATTGTGGTTTGATCCTGAAGCCAAATGAAAAGCGTTTTATAGAGTTTTGCAGGAGCTCCCACTGCGAAGGAGAAAATGTCCTGTACGTGTCTGTAATCTGACTTTAGCTGAAAAATTACTCTGTTATTGTCTTCTTGCTTCATTGACAAACTATTTTCCTGTTTGACACTGTAAAGCTGCTTTGACACAACCAGTATTGTATAAAGCGCTGTACAAATAAAGGTGACTTGACTTGTAATCAGTTGTGTTGAGTTTGCATGATTATCCTTCTGCAAGTGTACATTGATTAGCTTTACGCAAAAACCAGTGTATGTTGCTGTGTTTGGAGTGCAGGGTGGCACTCTTATGCAGTCCTGGCTTTGCTGGGGCACATCGGGGCGTCTGGGCTTTTCACCACCAGAGGAAAAGTCTGCAGTGCTGGGCTGCCCATGGCAGGGTACGGGATCATACCGGCCGTAGCAAACACTGGACTGGGCAAACCGGACCACTGGTTTGGATACACAGGGGCTGGCATCATCCCAGCAAAGGGGACGGTGGGCATCAAGTATCCGCCCTGCTGGAGGATGGGTGACGGGGTACTGGTGATGCCATGAGGCATGATGGGACCCAGAGCTGCTGACAGAGGACAGGACAGTGGTAGATGGAACTTCACAGCTGACTGAGGGATTGATCCCCTTATCTAGGAAAAAAAAGAGACAGACATGGTAAGAAAAGACGTGAAGGCAAAGGCTTCTAGCAGCACAAGCACAATGTTGTGTTACCAAATGTGTCTGAACACAATTAATAACACTAAGCATGCATTCTACTCTCAGCACTCCCACAAGGGCAGGGACGTGATGCTAACGGTGGGGCGAACCCCTCTCGCTTTAATCTGGCGTATTTAAACGGCCATTGATTATGCACACCTGGGCTTTACCCTTAAGATCTCACTCATCTCGTATCAGTCGGACACAACAATGCCAAAGACATCAAAAACAGTGTACAGCTGGTTATTAGTGTTGTCAAAAATGTAGCAGTAGTTTGGTACCAAGTTGATACTTCAATTATAAAAATGTAACTATACCAGCCTTTCCACAGATCAGATCTGGTACCCAGTGATAGCTGGCAGCTTTCAAACATTCCTGTATGTGTGAAGGCTACAATGCTAATGTTTTTTAATGTATTTACTTATTCGTAGCATTAATAATTACAACTAATTTTATTTATTAAATATTTTATTATCAAAGAGTAAAATTCAAAATAACCATTAAAATAAAAGTTTCTGCTATGGTACCGAAATGGGTACCAAGAACTGTGGAATTTTACTTGTATTGGTACCAATTACTGAAATGCTGGTACTGTGACAACACTGCTGGTTATGATGAACGATTTAAAGCTGCACCACAAAACTTTGGCCTCTATCACAATCTGTGGTTAAAACATGAAGTTGCATGTCAAATGAAAAGCAGTTCCTTTTTGAATGGGAACTCTCACTATGTCCCACCAGTATGGAATGACCGGTGTATGAAGCATGTGTCAAAACACAACAATGAACATGACACTGGCTGGTGACAGCCTATGACGTCACTACCAGTGCCCTACACTAAGAATAGTTGTTCAGGAGGCAGACACAGTCTGTCAGTTTAAATCTAGATTAAAGACCCATCTCTTTAACCTGGCTTACACATAACACACTAACACATTTCTAATATTCAAATTCGTTAAAGGATTGTTAGGCTGCATTAATTAGGTCAACCGGAATCAGGAACACTTCCCATAACACCCGATGTACTTGTTACATCATTAGAAGAATGGCATCTACGCTAATATTAGTCTCTTTTATTATTATTCCGAGGTCACTGTAGCCATACGGGTCCAGTCCATGTCCACTCAGAACTGCTATTCATGTGGAGCTCTGGGGAGCTGAGGCTTCAAAGAGACGGCTCTCATAGCGAGAAGAGGCTCTTAATTAACCCTCTTGAGTTTGGCGAATGTACCGGCGCGTTCAGTTGCATTTTTTTTCTGATGAACAGTGAAAAGAACAGTGAAAAGAACTTAAAATGCTCCGTCGTTTTTTGGTTGTATAGATAAGAGTAATACATCATTAGAATCTGTAAAGGTTCTACTTTTATTTGTATACACTCACAATAACAACAAAACATTGTGCTTTTGTAAAATAAAGAAAATAAACAGGGTGCAATTCCTGCAGTCTCAGTCTCTGTGAACTTCTTTCTGAAATGTGTCAAAAGAAAAGAACCAAAATGCACTTGACACACAGACATGAGAAATATGCCTATAGAAAGCTTAAGGTTTAAATGAATTAAGCCATATTGAAAACAACTATTCTCTGATAAAGTAATCTGCATGAAACCAAGGAGAGGTACAATGTTTCCCGTCTGATCTCATGATCTGTAAAGTGGTCACACCCATGCGTAGCACACGCTTGTCACGAATCCTGTCCATGGACTTCCGTTCATTCACCACCAGAGGTCACCCTTTCCATTACATTGACTCTCGCACAACACAAACTGTTGCATAGCACCCCGGACTACATATCCCATCATTCATTGCACTGATATGTTTCCCGTCTGATCTCATTATCTGTAAAGTGGTCACACCCATGCGTAGCACACGCTTGTCACGAATCCTGTCCATGGACTTTCGTTCATTCACCACCAGAGGTCACCCTTTCCATTACATTGACTCTCGCACAACACAAACTGTTGCATAGCACCCCGGACTACATATCCCATCATTCATTGCACTGATTACACACTGCACTGATTGCACACAGCTGTTTCATATCACTCACTCACTATATAACACCCACTCAAACAACCATTCTCCGCTGAGTATTGTTTAGCCTGTACCCCGTTCCGAGTCTCTGAGTTTCCTTGTTTTGCCTTGCCTTGCCTTGCCTGTTCTCTCGGTTTCTGATCTTTGCCTGTTTTCCTGGATTTTTCCCTCTCGTCTCGCCCCTGTGATTCTGTCTGCCGATCAGTGACCTACGCTAGCCCTAGGACTATTCTTGTGTTTTGCCCGCCATATACCTGTTTGCCATCGATCGACCCTGCCAGTGTTTGACCACTTCTCTTGTGAAATAAAGCTTGCACATGGATCCGCACGCCTCTCGTCTCGTCAGCCCCGTGACAACGCTATTCATACAGTAATCATCCACGTGACATGCTCAAACCTAAAAACAGCCCATCACCTCCATAAACAAAGCAGCAAGATTCATAATGTTCATCTAAGCTACTTTTCGTTTTTTGGAAGACGACAAACTGTGAGGAAAAAGCCTTGTGTTTAAGCCTTGTGAAGAAGAACACGATGCGACGCACGGCTTGATCCATTGGAGGATATCATTGATCATTGAGTAAGTAATTTTTCATAGTTGTATTAGTTAACATGTTATTGTGACATAAACTTGTACACATTTTAATAGTTGGACTATTCCAGACTAAAATGTATGAAATTGAGTGAAATATTTTTGGAGTGAAATATTTTCACTGATGGGCCATTAGGAGGGGGGCCCTTTGTCTCTCAGGTGCTAAACACATAAATGTCACGAATGTCAGGGCATGTCAAAACTTCTCCAGGGCCCAAAAACACCTTCAGACCCCAGAGGGTTAACCAGGGAGCCACCAGAGAGCCTAACAACCTGACACAACCCTAATTCGAGCTCCAAGGAACGAGGCCTCAACATGACGACTCTCTAAAGCGAGAGAATGCCTAATTATGTCCTATTCAAGAATAGCTATCAAGGAGGCACACCTAGCACAACAGCAGAGGGGACGGATTTATTAATAATATAAGCCCCAACTCTCTCTGCATCTAATACGTTTGAATTAGATGTTCCACATTACTTAGTTTACTTAGCTCACATTTATCAGTATGAAATAATCAGAAACAACAGGAGGAATTCTGAAAGGGAAAGCACTTCCTGACAGATTCCTTCCATGCTCCGCCTACAATCCCCGTGATCGATGGCACCTAATTGCTCTGATAGCAGCAGAACCCGAACCGCGGGAAGCAGGCGCAAGAGTTAAACATCGGTGGAGCTTCTCACGGTGACCACATAACACAGCATGCATTCAAATATTTTGAGGAAACGTGCAAGAACAAATGATGTAAACCAGATTTTGATGTACTCTCATTTGTTAAGATTCTAGAGCAGGGATCCTCAAATCTGGCCCACGAGATCCACTTTCCTGCAGAGTTTAGCTCTAACCCTAATCAAACACACCTGAGCATGCTAGTCAATATCTTCAGGATCATTAGAAAAAACCCAAGGAAAGTAAGTTTGATCAGGGTTGGAGCTAAACTCTGCAGCGCATTGGCCCTCCAGGGCAAGATTTGAGGAACCCTGCTCTAGAGGAAAAACAGCATAAAGTACCTGATTGGGGACTCTGGCCATTGGAGTGGGGCTGGTCTGGAAGGACTGATGAGATCTCTGCGGTCTACTCTGACACACAGAGGGGCGGAGCTGAGGGGCGGAGGCAAGAGTTTCTTTTGCCCAATCATCAACCAGCTTGTGTAGATCATCGGTGAAGGTACCGCTTTTGTTGTTGCTGTTGTTTGCTTGAGCCTGAACGAGCACCGTGATCGGCCGAGAGGATGAAGCAGGCATGGCTGCGGGAGGCAGGTTCTGATTGGATGCTGAAGTCACATGGGCAGCACCAGTACTATGAGACCCTGAGAAAGAGATTGAGAAAGACCTCAAGCAACAACTCAGAGAATTCACCCTGAGGCCCTCTGTAACCAACCTGCTGCTCACTGACTGCTGATGTTATTCATCATGTTACGCAGTGAAGTGTGGTTAATACAAATCCAGCCCTAATGAACAGATGCAATATTAGGTGTGTAAACATTTGCTTTGACAATGCTTTAATAAAGAGTTTTAATAAATGATGCACTATTCATACTTGGTGTTGGAGATTCATAATTATTTTCAACAATACGCTAAAAGCATAATTGTGACTGGAGAGGCAACTGAACATGCTCCTGCCAAAAGTAGGGTTGAGTATGTGGATGTGCCACCTTTTGAGAACTGATAAAGAAGTCGTTTACAAAATAGCTTGGTGTTTGAATGGCATTACAATTCAGCTGAATTTTGGGGCCTGGACATAATGTAAGAAAGGTTGTGCTAAACTGTGAATATGCTCACGTCTAAAGAAACGACACACAGCAGACTTCAGTTGTTTTTTTATAAAATGGTTAACGCATAAAACAAATTTGCACCCTTAATGTTTTTTTTAATGGGTGAATCAAGTTTTAGCCAGAACCACATCAGGTGAGCTTGAACTGAGATGGTGGATCTGATCGTATCCGTGTTTGTGTACTTGTGCACTTCTTGTTGAGTACTTGTTTCTAGTCTAAAATCAAGCAGCTGGATGATTACAGAACCAAAGAAATAACAAACACATATGCACTTAAATGACCGGGAATACAGAAATCATAAAGGTTTCAGTACGCACTTGACTGTATCGCACAGATATCACCATGCACTAGAAAAAATATTATTCAAATTAATATAAAGAATCAAAACGGTGACACACATTTCACAATCTGCGGCTGCAAACGTTAAGCACTTATCACACAGGTGATTGCTCATGCCAAAAAAAAAGAAATGAAAATGGCAAATAAAAAAAGAAAAGAGAAAGACAGAGGGACTAGGACCGAAGAAGAAAGGAGTGGGATAGTTACTACTGCTGCGCTCTTTCCC